ATTTTTGCGATAGAGATTTTCCGATAAGTTATTTTTTCTTTCCATCTATACCTTTTTTAATTTTTATTTATTTGTTGGAAATCATAATTTTTTTTTTTTTATTTTATTACGTTGGTTGACCTGTTTAAAAAAATTTTTTTTTTATAATAATAAAACTGCGGTAGGCCTGCAATTTAGTAGTGTTCGTCTGGCAACAAAAAATTTTATTAAAAAAAAAAAAAAATTGTTATGGATTTTAAATGACAATTTTTTTTTTTTTTTATTATTAATCTACACTTTAACGATAAACGACGTGGCAGTAGTAGTAGTAGTGGTGGTGGTGGTAGTGGTAGTAGTAGTGGGCGGTGGGTAATATATAGATCGATATAAAAATTGGTAATAAAAAAATTTAAACGTTTAATTTGACTATTTATTTTGTTTACATGAAAACAAGTTTTTTATAAAAAAAAAAAAAAGAAAACAAATAGTCGAACAAAGTTTTTTTTAAAAACTTCATAAAGTTTAAAAACCAGAAATTTATTTAAATAAAAAAAAATAATAATAATAATAATCATTCAAATAACTGTTATTTATCCAATGAAAAAATATTATTACTGATAATGATAATAAAGTTCTTACCCCTTTTTCACTCAATTTTATGTTTATTATTTAAATCTATTTAAAGAAAATTGTATAACACAAAACATGAAAAAATTTTACTCTCTACTTTTTAATAGTGCGTGTGTGCGTGTGTGCGCGTGTCCGAGTACTATTTTCGACACAAGAAAATCGTTATTTGGTAGTTAATCACCCACATATTTATTTATTTATTAAGTTCACGAAAAAATAAAAATAGAAAAACATAAATTTTTAGAATAATATAGTAATAATAATAATAAATTTTATTATTATTATTATTATCGTTTGTGCGTGTGCGTCACACTGTGTGATTATATTGACTTGTTTTTGTGTTTTTTTTATTACTGTCGTTCGATACCTGAAAATTTTAACTTGTTCAGGTTTGTAACCTAGAAAAAGAGGAGGAAAATTTTTTAATCGTTTCGTTGTAATAATTTTATCAACAAATTTTAATAAATTATTTTTTTCCTGGGGGGGGAATTTAACTCCGCGAAAAAATTAAAGTTCGATGAGGTCACCCCCCCCCCCGTAAACTGCAAACGCATCGTCAATAATAATAATAATAATTAATAGGAAAATTAAAAATTTTTAATCCGTTAGTATCGTCATTTATCGGACGTTGAGCTCTGACCACTCGATCATCATCATCATCATCATCAATTGTTTATATATAAATTATTTAAAAAAATTAAAGGAAAGGGGGAAAGGGGGAGAGAAAAGGGGGAGGGAAAGGGGAAGGGGGTAAAATGCCGGGACTTTAATAAAATACAATTTTTTTCTTTTTACGGGGCACGTTTAAAAAAGTTAGAAACGAAACAATATGGACGTAAATAATAATAATAATAACCATAGTCGAGTAAGGGGATGGGAGGGGAGGGGGGGGGTTTGTTATTTTTTTTTTATTTAAAAAATCCCACCTATTCTTCATTCAAAGTTTATAATTATCTACAACATATATGTATATATATATATAAAATTATTTACCTTTTAATTTTAACATCGAAAAAAAAAGGTATATAAAAAAAAAAGTTGAAATCGGTGATGTACAGGTTCATATAAACTATTCTCTCTCTCTCTCTCTCTCTCTCTCTCTCTCTCTCTCTCTCTCTCTCTCTCTCTCTCTCTCTCTCTCTCTCTCTCTCTCTCTCTCTCTCTCTCTCTCTCTCTCTCTCTCTCTCTCTCTTCTATTATAGTGATTATCGTAAAAAAAAATCTTTAATTTTATAAAACCGAATTTTTTTTTTTTTAAAAAAAACGAGAAATGTGATGAACCGAGAAAAAAAAATAATGTTTGACCTTTCCAACATTTAGATTGAAAATGTTTGTTGGTTGTTCATATACTTGACATGATCACGATCGAATACAAACTATCAAAGGGTATTATTATTATTATTATTATATAAACAAAAAAAAATTTCCTCCCCCACCCCTCCTCCTCCCACGTTTTTTTCTTTAATATATTATTTGCAAAATCATATCATCATCATCATCATCATTATTATTTTACCCATTTTTTAAGGTTATTAACTTAAAACGTAATTATCACTTATGGAAAAGTATTTAAATACTCATTTTTCTTTTATCATTATTATTATTCTCCTCAATAATAACCCATTTAACTAATTCAAACAGGTGTTTTTTATTTGTTTACAATATAATCGATCAATCGATCGATTATTAAACGCAACCTATCGATTAGTTCGATTTTAATAAAAAACCAATTTATTTATTTAATCGATTTCTATTTTTTTTTTTTTTTAAATTAAAAAATTTTATCGAAAATAAAAAAATAAAAATTTTTACGTAATTTTTTTTTATTACTTTTATTATTATTTTTTTTTTATAAATTACGATAATAAATAAATTAATTAATTAATTATCACGTGGTTAATAAGAGTAACGAAAATAATTTGTTAATAAATTTCAATTAATTATTTTAAAAAAAAAACGTTTAAACGCAAAACAAAACGAAAATTATTATTATTATAAT